TGGGCCAAAGGCAGGCGGCCATTGGCGCAACTGTCTGCTGGCGGCCATGCGACCTTCCGAATGGCAGGCGAGGGTAGGTGGGTATGCCCGCCACTCGCCCGGCCCTCCTCCCCTCCCCAACGCCCTTTGAAGGGTGGGTTCTTTGCAACAGCTCGTGCAATAGGGTGAAAGGACAGGGGTGGTGGGTATATTGCAGAGCGGTTGGTCCCCTAATGGACCGTGCGCGGATCATCTCTTGACTTTCTTTACGATGGGTGGGCGACGGACATATTTTTTTCCCCAACTTATGGGAGGGCGACGAGCTTATTTTTTCCCCTGGGCTAAAGGCAAGAGAAGATGAAGGATGATTTTCAGTAAGACGACGTCGCTTTCAATGAAAAGTTATATATGTATATATATATATATATATATATATATATATATATATATATATATATATATATATATATATATGTATATGTATATATATATATATATATATATATATATATATATATATATATATATATATGTATATATATATATATATATATATATATATATATATATATATATATATATATATATATATATATATATATATATGTGTATGTATTTTTTTCTTTTTTGTTTTAAGACCTTTTTTTGGTGCCCATACACCAGAGATAAAATTAAAAGTGAAAATAAAATTAAAAGTTCCGAGTTCCCTCCCAAGAGACAAAATTCTCCGGTACCAAAAAAAAGGGGGGGGGGACCGAAACAAAATTTTTATAGCTCCGAGAGTGGCCACATCAGCGCCGTAACCGAACGCACCCTTCCCGCAGGCACGGTTCATTGCGGCCTGGCTTGTCTCCTCCCCTCTCCCCCTCCCTCTCCAACACCATCCCCCCCTCTCCCCCTCCCTCTCCAACACCATCCTTCCCTCCCTCCCTCCCTCTCCAATACCATCCCCCCCTCCCTCCCTCCCTTTCCAACTTTAACCCCCTTTCTCACTTCTTTCCCTCTCTCCCTCTCCTTTCCCTCCTTTCGTCTTTCCCTCCCTCCTTCTCCCCTTCTTCCTCCCTCTTCTCCCCCCCTCCCCCCGCTAGCCCCTCCTTCCCTACCTCCCCCTTCCCCCCTCCTTCCCCCCATTATCCTATCCCCCCACTCCTCCTCCTCCTCCTCCCGCCCCCCCTTTTTTCACCTCCCCTTTGCGGTCATTCGCTGCAAAATGGCGCGGTGTGATGGGGGGTAGGAGGAAGAGGGAGGAGGGGGGGAGGGGTGAGGGGGTAGGGGGGGGGGTTGAAGGCATCCATGGCTGTCCTGTCGTTGATTTAGTGCCGCGACCCGACTCTGGAGGCTCAGGATTAGTTTCCTCTCCTTTTCAATTCTCGTATTCTTGCAATCCCCCTTTCGTTTTTTCCCTTCCTTTCATTCCCGCTCTCTTTTCATTCTCGTTTTCTTGGATTTTTTGTTCGTTTTTCCCTTCCTTTCATTCCCGCTCTCTTTTCATTCTCGTTTTCTTGGATTTTTTCTTCGTTTTTCCTCCTTTCGTTCCCGCTTTTTTGTAATTCGTTTTTCTTTCCTTTTCATTCTCGTTTTCTTGGATTTTTTGTTCGTTTTTCCTCCTTTTATTCCCGATCTCTTTTCATTCTCGTTTTCTTGGATTTTTTTGTTCGTTTTTCCTTTCGTTCCCGCTTTCTTGTAATTCGTTTTTCTTTCCTTTTCATTCTCGTGTTCTTGATTTTTAAAATTCGTTTTCCTCTTTTTATTCCCGCTTTCGTTTGCGTTTTCCGTTTTCCTCTTCTTCTCATTCGTTTCTCTGTGATTTTTTTCTATTTACGTCTTTTCTTTCTCATTTTCTTGAGATTATTTCAATTTTCTTCTTTTCAGTTAATTTGTTCATCTACTTGCAATGTTAAATTGTTTTTCTTGAACAATTTTGACAATTAGAATGGGTAGGGGGGGAAAAGGAAATAAAATATTAACAGGAATACAAAGAAAAAAAGTTAGAGGAAAAGAAAAACGTAAAATAAGATCAGAAGAAAAACGAAAAAAAAAAAAAAAACGGAAAATAGGAAAACTAAAATTAAAATTAAAATCTTTCGCCATGTGTCCACGAAAACTTTCGCCCTTATCGGAAAACTCGATAAGAATCAAATTCGGATATCCTCTTTCCTATAAGTTTCTTCTTGGAGAGTTATCGGAGTGACATTTATATAAGAGGAGGAGGAGGAGGAGGAGGAGGAGGAGGAGGAGGAGGAGGAGAAGAAGAAGAAGAAGAAGAAGAAGAAGAAGAAGAAGAAGAAGAAGAAGAAGAAGAAGAGGAGGAGAATGAGAATGAGAAGGAGAAAAACGAGAAGGAGAAAGAGAATGAGAATGAGAAGAAGAAGATGGAAAAGGAGGAGGGAGAAGATGAAAAAGGAGGAGAATGAGAAGGAGGAAAAAGAGGAAGAGGAGAGAGAGAAGTGGAAGAGGAAAAGGGGTCAAAGTGCTTCGTTTACAGTGTCTCTGTGTCTCTCGTTTCATCTCCTTTTCCCATCTCTACTTTTTGGTGTTTCTCTTCCTCTGGATTGTGCTTCGGTTTATGTCTCTCTCTTTTCCTCCTTATCGTGCTTATCGTTATCTTTCTCGTTTCCATACTATCTATCTTTTCCTATACGCTTCCTCTGTCCTGTCTGTTTCGTCATTCTCTCTCTCTCTCTCTCTCTCTCTCTCTCTCTCTCTCTCTCTCTCTCTCTCTCTCTCTCTCTCTCTCTCTCTCTCTCTCTCTCTCTCTCTTTCTCTCAGCACCCATTCCTTCCCACTTTCTCAGTTACCTATATATTTATTCTTATTTTATTTTAAAGCCTCCTCACTTTCTAATAATTTTCCACATGTTTCCTCCTCTTTATGTCTTCCACATGGCCTCCTTCTCGTCCTCCTCTGTCTCTCCTTTCTTCCCACGTATTCCGCGGCAAGACCTGACCTTTGCTGCGTATATGGGAAACATATGTGAAGAGAAGAAGAGAGAGAGAGAGAGAGAGAGAGAGAGAGAGAGAGAGAGAGAGAGAGAGAGAGAGAGAGAGAGAGAGAGAGAGAGAGAGAGAGAGAGAGAGAGAGAGAGAGAGAGAGAATGAGAGAGAGAGAAAGAAAGAAAGAGATAAGCAGATAGATAGACAGACAGACAGATAGATAGGTAGATAGACAGAGAAAAAAAGCTCCTGGACTTTTCCCAGAAGCTTTTTCGATCTCTGGAAGTCGGCCTAATTTTTGGAGTTTTAGAAGTTTTGTGTTTTCCTTTTTTGGCGTTGCAGAGAAGGAACCAGACAGGTAATAGATAGGATCATAGTAAGAGTACATAGACGTAGCGAAAGAGAGATAGATAGATAGATAGATAGAGATAGAGAGAGAGAGAGAGAGAGAGAGAGAGAGAGAGAGAGAGAGAGAGAGAGAGAGAGAGAGAGAGAGAGAGAGGAAGGGGGAGCTTTTACTATTCTTGAAGGCTGGGAGAAAGATTTTCGACTTTCTGAGAAGGGGGGATGCACAAGGCCTGGCGGGGTGGGGGGGAGTCCATGACGTAGGCGAAATAAAGGGGTCGTCTCCTTTTTTCCAAAGGGGGGGGGGTCGGGGGCATGAGGGAGAAGAAAAGAAAAGGAAAAGGAAAGAAAAAAAAGGGAGAAGAAGGGATCTCTGTTGCTCTTTTGCATCCCTTAAAAAAAAGAAAAAAAAACATTCTGCGAGTTGTAAAAATCGGTACTAAAGCGTTTTCCTCGTTGACGAAGGTTCCCCTCGAAGATTTATGGACGGGAAAGAAAAAGGGGCAGTTTTAATGGTGGATTCCCTGATTGACAGTCTCGCTCCAGTCCATCCAAAGTTAACGGACGCAACACAAGACCAGGGGGGGCGGGGAAGAAGGAGAGATGAGGCGTCGCCAGCCACAAAATGACTCCATAAAGGTGGTGGTCATTTCTTTTTTTTTTATTGCCCGTGCAACTTGCAGAGGTGAAATGCGAGGAGGGGGACGAAGAGATGGCAGGTAACACACCCGCGTGGTAGGAGGTCGTAGTTGGTCGTCTTTAGTCGGTTCCTCTGTGTCGTGCGAAGGTAGTGCATTTGGTCTTGTGACTGACGAAAGCATGAGACGACCTCGGGTGCCGTAGTGAGGGCAGTGCGTCTGTTGAAGGTTGGAAGAAAGAGGCTTAAAAGCTCCATTTATCTACGTGCGTTTGCGTGTGTGTATACGCCTGTGTATGCGCTTGTGTGTGCTTGCGTCTGTGTTTCTCGTGTGTAAGCGTGTGGATGCAAGGATGTTAATATACATATACTGCAGATAATTTTCAGATTTCATACAGCAAGCATACTTCTCATGACTGCAACGAATCATGTGATGAACGCCATAAATTTTATCTTTCAACATTTTTTTCTTATTTACTCTCGTTTTTCTTTAATTTTTAAAATCTTTAAGCTGCGTTGACTGAGCTGGCTTGGCTTGCCCTTAGCCAGACGGGCCCGGGTTTGAAAAGGGCTGTGCTGTTGACTCTCGGATTTGGAGAATTTTTGCCCATTTCCTGACATGAAAAAAATGGGAAAGAAGGAAGGGGATTTTTTTTTCGAAGACGGATGGTTATAATCGTGTTTGTGAGATTTATTCTGCATATTTTATAATTAATGTTACCTATTCTGTTATTCATGCCATTTATCACCTACTATAAAAACGTTTGAAAATATCCTTTTGCTTCATTTCTCTTTTCTCACCATATTCTATTGTGCTCTATATTTTTACCCGGATTTTATTCTCTCTCTCTCTCTCTCTCTCTCTCTCTCTCTCTCTCTCTCTCTCTCTCTCTCTCTCTCTCTCTCTCTCTCTCTCTCTCTCTCTCTCTCTCCTCTCTCTCTCTCCTCTCTCTCTCCCTCTATTTCTCCAAAACCTCCTCCCCCCACACATATTTATCTCTCTTCTCCCCCCATCCCCTCCCTTCCCCTCCCCACCCTCCCAAAAATTTATCTCCCAAACCTCCCCCAGATCTTAAACCTTTCTCTCTCTCTCTCTCCCCACACAGGTTTGTCTGGCTGCGGGATGAGCAACACCTACGGGGCGCAGCAGCACTACTGCCTGCGTTGGAATAACCACCAACACAACCTACTCGGGGTGCTCGAGACGGTGCTCACTTCTCAGCAGTATGCCGATGTGTCGCTGTTTTGCGAGGGTAAGTACCCGACGGCAGGGGTAGTTGTAGTGTTGTTGTTATTAGCGGGGTTGTGACTGTGATAGTGAGGGTGATGATAATAATAATGATGATGATAAGGGTATTAATGGTAATGATAATGTTAATGATAATAATAACGATGATGATAATGATAATAAGAATGATATTGATAATGATAATGATAATAACATTGATGACGAGAATGATGTTAATGATAATGATAATAAGAATGATATTGATAATGATAATGATAATAAGAATGATATTGATAATGATAATGATAATAAGAATGATATTGATAATGATAATGATAATAAGAATGATATTGATAATGATAATGATAATAAGAATGATATTGATAATGATAATGATAATAAGAATGATATTGATAATGATAATGATAATAAGAATGATATTGATAATGATAATGATAATAAGAATGATATTGATAATGATAATGATAATAAGAATGATATTGATAATGATAATGATAATAAGAATGATATTGATAATGATAATGATAATAAGAATGATATTGATAATGATAATGATAATAAGAATGATATTGATAATGATAATGATAATAAGAATGATATTGATAATGATAATGATAATAAGAATGATATTGATAATGATAATGATAATAAGAATGATATTGATAATGATAATGATAATAAGAATGATATTGATAATGATAATGATAATAAGAATGATATTGATAATGATAATGATAATAAGAATGATATTGATAATGATAATGATAATAAGAATGATATTGATAATGATAATGATAATAAGAATGATATTGATAATGATAATGATAATAAGAATGATATTGATAATGATAATGATAATAAGAATGATATTGATAATGATAATGATAATAAGAATGATATTGATAATGATAATGATAATAACATTGATGACGAGAATGATGTTAATGATAATGATAATAACATTGATGACGAGAATGATGTTAATGATAATGATAATAACATTGATGACGAGAATGATGTTAATGATAATGATAATAAGAATGATATTGATAATGATAATGATAATAACATTGATGACGAGAATGATGTTAATGATAATGATAATAAGAATGATATTGATAATGATAATGATAATAACATTGATGACGAGAATGATGTTAATGATAATGATAATAACATTGATGACGAGAATGATGTTAATGATAATGATAATAAGAATGATATTGATAATGATAATGATAATAAGAATGATATTGATAATGATAATGATAATAACATTGATGACGAGAATGATGTTAATGATAATGATAATAACATTGATGACGAGAATGATGTTAATGATAATGATAATAACATTGATGACGAGAATGATGTTAATGATAATGATAATAAGAATGATATTGATAATGATAATGATAATAACATTGATGACGAGAATGATGTTAATGATAATGATAATAACATTGATGACGAGAATGATGTTAATGATAATGATAATAACATTGATGACGAGAATGATGTTAATGATAATGATAATAACATTGATGACGAGAATGATGTTAATGATAATGATAATAACATTGATGACGAGAATGATGTTAAACACTCGAGGAGAAAAGTGACGTTTATTGCCTCTTGTGTGTGTGTGTGTCTTCCTCTGGCCCTCTCTTCCTCCCTCTCTCTCTCTCTCTCTCTCTCTCTCTCTCTCTCTCTCTCTCTCTCTCTCTCTCTCTCTCTCTCTCTCTCTCTCTCTCTCTCTCTCTCTCTCTCTCTCTCTCTCTCTCTCTCTCTCTCTCTCTCTCTCTCTCTCTTTCCCTATTTCTCTCTGTCTCACTCACTCACTTTTCCTGCTTCTCAATCTTTATTTATCTATCAATCTATCTATCTATATTTCTTTTGTTAATTCTAATTATCTTTCTTTCTAACTATTTATCTGTCTATAAGTGTCTATCTACCAATCTATCCATCTTTCTATTTATCAATCTATCTTTCTATCCCTGTGCGTGTCTCTTTATCAGGATTTCTATTTACATTTCTAACTCTGAATATGTATGCCCGCATGTGTGTGTACAATATACGTGTGTATGCGTCCGTATAAGAATGCGTGAAGGAATATACGTGCGCTGGAAAGCATCAGAAAAGAGGTTTGAATCCTTTGTATATATTAGGGTAATTCCATTCATTGATCCCTACATTCATTCATTCACACGTTTATTCAAATCATCTGGATAGTAAACTCAGGATTTTCTTTTCATTCGTAAAGAGATGCTTGTGGGTTTTACTGTCCTGAAAAGAAAATAAGAAATGGCGTTGTTTATATGGAGAGCAAGGGAATCTTTGTGCAATTTTGAAAGGATTATTTTCTGAGAAAGTCATGTTTGGTGACGCGAGTTTTCCCGTTCGTATGTCTTTTGTTTGGCTTTAATTCTTACTTATTTACTTTTGTCTTGCTAATAGATAATTTTCTCTCTTCCATGGTTTATGTGTGTTTGTGAGTTGTTGTTTGTTTTGTTTGTTTAAGTGTTTTATTCTGTATGTTTGTGTGTCTGTATGAGTCTGTTTGTATAACTGTCTGCAATTATAATCTTACGTATGTACGTGGGATTGAAATATCGCTTGACTTACACCCTTCCCTTCTTTCTCTCGCCCTCCCTCACCCCCTACCTCTCTCCTCCTCCCTCATCCCCTCCCTCACCCTCTCCCTCACTCCTCCTCCCTCACCCCTTCCCTCTCTTTCCCTCCCTCACCCCCTTCTCAACTTTTCCCCCCAAAACCCCTACCACTTTTCCTTCCTCCCCTTCACCCATCCCCTTCCCCTCCCTCCTCCTCCCTCCCCTATCTCCCATCCCCCCAACACTACCCCTCCTCACTACCCCCCACCTCCCACCCCCCCCCACCCACACTCATCCTCCTTCCACTGCTCTTACCTGTCACCCTCCCTACCTCCCTCTGCTGGCAGGGGTACGACCGCGCGGCAGGGTAGAAATTTTTCGATTAAAACTGGTTAAGCTTTTATTGCACAAAGGAAGCCGTTACTGTCTTTGACAGATTGTTACGGTTAATAATAATAGTAATGATAATAATAGTGGTAATAATAACGATCATATTTCTATTTTTCTATTATTATTATTGTTATTATTATTATTATCATTATTATTACCATTATTATTATTATTGTTATCATCATTATCATTATTATTGTTGTTGTTATTATTTTTATTATTATTATATCACGATTATTATTACTATTATTGTTGTTAAGATTATCATTACTATTATGATTATCATTTTAGCTATTGTTATTATTATTACACTTATCATTATCATCATTATCATTATTGTTATTGTTATTATGATGGTAATAATAACGTTAATGATAATAATTACTATTACTATTATTAGTATTATCATTATTATCATTATCATTATAATTATAATAGTAATGATAATAATAATAGTAATAATAATAATAATAATAATTATTATTATTATTATTATTAGTAGTAGTAGTAGTAGTAGTATTGTTATTATTATCATTACTCCTGCACGCACCTTAACCGTATCCAAATAACCCTCCCTTCTCCCCCCCCCAGGCCAGGTCCTCCGGGTCCACAAACTGGTGCTGCTGGCATCCTCGGCCCACTTCGAGCGCATCCTGCAGGCGTCGCCGGAGGGTCAGCAGCCGGTCATCATCATGGACGGCACGAGATACGCTGACCTCAGGGCGCTGGTCGACTACATGTACCGCGGCGAGGTCAACATCGAACAGGACCAGCTGTCGTCGCTGCTCAAGACGGCCGAGACGCTGAAGGTCAGGGTTGTGGTTGTAGTTGTGGTTGTAGGAGAAGTGGTTGTAGGAGAAGTGGTTGTACGAGAAGGGGTTGTAGAAGGGGTTGTAGGAGAAGGGGTTGTAGAAGGGGTTATAGGAGTTGTGATTAAAGGAGAGGTGATTATAAGTGTGATTTGTGTGATTGTAAAAAGTGGTTGTAGTTGTGAAAGAAGGGGTAGTTGCAGTTGTAGAAACAGTCGCTGCAGTACAAGCTGTAATAGAAAAAATAGTTGCGGCTGTGGAAGTAGAATTAGGAGTGTAGGTTGCAGTAAGAGAGTAATTAAGTACTAGAAGTAGTTGACTACATCGGGGTTGCAGTCACGGCTGTCAGGCGAGCATTGAAGGCTACAAAATATGAAGTTATAGTGACAGAAGTTGAGGTATTAAATGCAGTAGGCCTAATAATAGTGATAAATGTAGTAGCAGTGACAGTATTGTTATTACTTAATATTTTTTTATATTTTTTCTACTGTATTTTCTTCATAATTAAATGGAATAGTCTAGCCTTCGAATAACTTAACCAGAATAGAAGTTTTAGGCTAGGAATGTACCCCTATCGCATCTAATGTATTTTTTTTCGTTTTATGTGTTGTTATTATCATTATTATTATCCTTTTTATTTGTGATAATGATAATGGCGTTGTCGCTGCTGTTGTTGTAACCGTTGGCCGGCGCCCGCAGATCAAGGGACTAGCGGACGTGGCGAGCAAGGAGGAGGATGACGGCGGCGGGAAGGAGCGCCTCCGGGACAACGGCGGCTCGGCCTCGACGCCGCCGCCGGCCAAGAGGCCCAAGCAGTCGCCCGGGGACTCCGCCCTCCCGCCAGGAGGACCCGACGTCCGCGACCACAGAGGGACCAACGCGAGGGACGCCCTCCGACCCGACCTGCGCGACCTGCGCGACCTCCCCCACTTCAGCATGGTCCCCAGCGGCTACGCGCGGCGGCCGGCGTCCCCTCCGGCGCCGCCCCTGCCCACCGCCGCCTCGCTCACGCCGGCGCGCTCCCTCCTCTACACGTCCTCGCTCATGTCCCGCCCGACGTCCAAGAGCCCCGGCCCGCCCCTCCCGGCCCCGCCCTTCTTCCCCAGCGGCCTGGTGAGACCTCGGTCCCCGCACCCGCAGTACGACCCCACGGCGGGCTCCAGCCTCCTGCCGCCGCGCACGTCGCCGCAGTCGCCGGTGCCCGACCCCAAGATGGTGCAGCAGCTCGGGTGAGTCTCCATCGTATGATAATAAATATGGTAGATAGTTTTAACGATGTCTAAATATTAAATGTTCCAATAACAATGTCTGAGATTTTAACGGCTCCTTATTAACGTGGTGTTGCTTGTTTCGTCCTCAGCGTCCCTCCCTTCGGCCTGCCCTTCTCTCTGCCGCTCCTTCATGATTCCAAAAAGATGATGGAGAGAAACGCCCACAAACTGGCGCCCACGTCCCACTACGACGCCCACGACGACAAGGACCGCCCGCCGCCTGTGTGGCCTCCGCGGGGCGCCTCCGACCTCGACATGGAGCGGGAGAGGGAGAGGGAAAGGGAGAGAGAAAGGGAGAGGGAAAGAGAGCGGGAGAAGGAAAGAGAACGGGAGAGGGAAAGAGAGCGCGAGAGAGAAAGAGAAAGAGACAGAGAACTGGAGAGGGAACGGGAGAGGGAGACTCAGCGATTATTAGACCGCGAAAGGGAGAGGGAAAGGGAGAAAGAGAGGGAAAGGGAAGGGGAGAAGAACATTCATAACGAGAGCCACAACGGCACGAGCGCGAAGGACCCGGATCGGCGGCAGGAGGACGAGAAATCCTTCAGTCCCAAGGACAAGGACGACCACTCGCCCTCGGGAGGTAAGCGCCCTATCGCCTTCGACTTCTTTTTATTCCTTCACCAATTCTAGAAGATGAATTTAGTTTGGATTAACGTATCTGGCCCTTTAGCTTCTACCTATCTATATATCACTTAGCTTAGCGTTGATACTTTTCTTTTAGATATCATTAATATTATACTTATCATCCTCTCTATTCCCTAACCGTCACCACCACCGCCTCTCCCACCTAGACTCCGTGATCAGCAAGACCGAGCTCCTGACCCCCGAAGGTGACGTCGACGAGGACGACGACAACACCAACAACACCACCACGACCACCACCACCACCACGGGTCGCGACACCACCGCTTCGGAAATCACCACCACCGGCTCCCGCCAAAGGAACCTGTCCACGTCCTCGTCAGGCAACACGTCAACAGGTAGGCGCGGTCGGCGAGAGGCCTTCGACGTGCCTGAGGGAGGGAAGGGGACGCGAGGCCTGCGGGTCGGTCCTCGTCGTCCTCCTCTTTTTTCCCCTTTTTTTTTTACTCTTGCATTTTTTTCCTGAGGGGGGGGGAGAAGTGGGGGAATGAGACAGAAAGGGGGTTATTTCCTGTTTGGTCTCTCTTCTGTTTTCAGTTCCCCCTTTCTTCTTCCTTGTATGTTTTCTGTAGTTTTTAAGGTTTTGTTTTTTGTTTGTTTTCTTTCTCTGTGCCTCTGCTTTGCTCCGCACTTATGTAGAATTGCCTTAAATGATTTTCTTTTGTTGTTCTTTTATTTTTGGTAAATTTCTCCAATTCCTTTTTTTAGAGAAATGTAATTGTTAGCAAAGGAGTAGTGAGTGAAATTAGTGATGATTAGAATGCATGGTTTAACTTTTGTGATTCTGTAAGTATTGTGTTATGATTTACTTTTGTAGCATTTGTTTAAAGTTCTGTAGATTTTTTTCTGATTCTAGTTTCGATTTATTATAATTTGATGCACATATTTTAAGTTTGTAAAAAGAGAAAAATAGAGAATAGAATGTAGTTTATATTATCTCTGAGACTTGTGCTTGAACCCTCTAAACTGCCTGCTTAGAGAGCACTTGCTTTGGGCTTGTCCGGTGCATGGCGCTGCATGTTGCATGAAAAGGCGAGAAAGAACACCACAGTAAGAGCGACCTGTGAGCCTCAGGTCAAGGTACTCGGAGAACCAGTCTAACCTGTGCCCCGCCCCCGCCGACGCCCCCGGCCGCCGATGGCAGGGCGGGCGGCGGCGCCTGGGCGCGGGCGGCATCTTGACGCACTAAAGCCTCGGGTGGCTGCTTACTGGTGGTGTTGTTTCTTGCAGAGTGTGTGGTGTGGGGCGAGGGGGAAACAAGAGGGGGGGCGCCCTCCCCCCTGTTAGAGGGGGGTGAGGAACCCCCCGCGCCCCCTGGAGGGTGGGTGTGCTCCACCTGTGGGCGGGGCCACGCGTCCCTGGCGGAACTACGAAGCCACTGGTCCGAGCACGCCCGCGGGCGGCACGTATGCGGGTTGTGCGGTGCGTCGTACTCGGTGCAGAGCTCGCTGGCGCGCCACGTCCGCACCGACCACGCGCAGCGGCGGCGAGTGTTCACCTGCGCCCTCTGCGGCTCCACCTTCAAACACAACTTCAGCAGAAACTTGCACCTGCGGACCGTGCACAGACTTAACATTCCAAACAATAGGAAGGCAGACGCCCCCGCCTCTTCCAGCCCGTAGCACGAGGCCCGTCCCTTGTAGTGTAGTGTAGTGTACGTAGTGGAGACCCAACGTTGAGTTTGCTACTGTTTCTTTATTGCTTTCTGCCTTTTATTTGGTTTTATGTAGAGTTTGCTTTCACTTTTCGTACAGTTGAGTTTTGTCTTTCTCTTCTGGATTTTGTTTGCATATGCATTTGCTTCTTCACTTTTTATTTCCGCGACGTGAGGGAAGCAAGGTACTGATTTCCCTCTGTGTTCCTTCCAGCTGAGTTGGTGAAGTGCCCTTACTGCCCCCGCTCATACCGCCACCAGAACAACCTGCGGACCCACATCCGGTGTTTCCACAAGGGCGTGCGGATCCCGTGCCCGATCTGCCACCGCGGGTTCACCCGCTGGTTCACGGTTCGCTGCCACATCGCGCGCGAGCATCAGAACGTGGACTTCTCCCGCCCGGAGGCCCTTCCGGCCCAGCTGCGCCGCGCCCTGTACCCTCCGTACCCGGAGTAGTGGCCGTCCGTCCCCGATCACGTCAGACTCCTGCCCCGGCTGCCGCTGCCCACGACGGCGCCGCCGACGCAGGGCTCCCCGCCGTCCTCGCCGACGCCCCGCCGGCCAGACGACGCCCCCCTGCGCGGGGGGCGGGGTCGGGGGAGCCCGCGGCGAGAGTCCGAGTGACGCGACGCGGCGAAGAGTCTGGGTGATACTTGGTGCTCTGTGTACAGAACGGCCCCCGAGGCCTCGATGGTATCCATGTGTACAGCTGGCCGAGCACCAGACGACGACGAAGGACCGCCCGGGTGCTCGCCAGCCTCCAGTGTTGTTGGTATGCTGTAGGCGACGCTAGTGATAGTCACACTGTGGACTCGCGCTTGGGTCTTTAGCTGTGCTTGTGAAGCACGCTAAACTGTGTTATGTATGGTCCATGGCCGGTGTTCTCGTAGCTTCAAGTGTGCTAATATCATAACCCCAATACCATAGTGTAAGCGTGGAGTCGTATTATGGACCTTGTTAACTGTAGGTTTTATTTGAAATGGTTATATTTTATAGAAGATTAATCACGAACCCAAGAAAGGGAAGGTATGTTTCTTCTGTTCATAATCTAGTGAATGATTTCTGGTGTGGGTGCCTTATGCTCAACAAAGCAAGCATGCACAAGATGTTTGTAGATGTACAGTATTATTTTTATAGCTGCCGTCATTATCCCTCCAACAAAGCACGGGCGGTCAGAGCCGGGGAAGCAGGGGTCCCTCACAAGGACCTCAGCCCTGAAGTGTGTCAGGGAAACCAAGAGGGCAGGGAGGGACCTGGTTATCAATGTTCCTCTTTTGCGAATGCAGCGTCGAACTTCCTCTGCGAAAGCAAGGCAAGTTTAGCATTTTTTTTTCTTTTTTTTTCGTTTTTGTATAGCAGATGTTGTTTTGTCTGTGTGTTCATGGGTCGACCTCCCTGCCCTGGGTATTGCAGGGGACGAAATACTATATATATATGTCTAAAAAAAGAGAAAAAAAAAAGAAGAAAACCCTGCATGAATTATAAGAACAAGTTACTCAGGTATCCACGTTGGGTCAAGCACCCGGTCTTATCTACCTCATGTTTCGTATCCTTCTAGTTGTTATTGCACCTTTGCTAGCTCACGCGAAGTTTCCTTTCCTGGAGGAAGCTTACTACACGCCTCATGATATAGCAGATTTTAGTACCCCATGACTCTGTTGGAGTATCTTCCAGGTCAAACGTACAAAACTACAGAAACTATATTTTCTAGACTTCGGAATCTGGAATTGCTGACGTGTACCTTAGTCAACTAGGCCTAATGTATGACTTGAATGCTCATGGATAAATCAGTACTTAGTCATAATGTAAAAGCTGCGGCATATTTATTTAGTGTTGCCGAGTAGTTGCCCCGCAGTCTTATTGAAGCCAAAGCAGTCTGGAAAAAAAAGAAGAAAACGAAAGAAAGAGAGAGTTAAGAAACAATCAAATAACGTAATACCGGACATCATTATGGTGTTCCGTCACGTCACTGTCAGCCTATCAAGTTTCTTCAGGGATTTAGAGAGAAAGAAAAAATAGAATATATTAAATAAACAGAAACTATAACGAGCTCAGGAAACAAAGACGTGTACCCATATCCCTTCCCCCCCCTCCCCCTCTCCCCCTTTGCTCCTTCTTTCAGTGTAGTTCGTAAAAAGAAAAAAGAATAAAATGGCGTAGTTCGAGTAAAGTGAAACAAACAAGCAATGCAAGAACGAGATTTCGATGTCCTTTTAGAATTGACAACAAAAGAGAAAGGACAGATTTAACGAAACATTTTCTTTCTTTTTTTCTTTGAGGAAGAAATCTAGCAGCGTTGCATTTCCTAGTTGATATACATAAATATATATATATCTATTTTTCTCCGTGTAGTAGTTTGACGTTGCTCAAAGAAGGGGATGCATGACACTGACCCATCCAACGATTTCGGTGATAAGGGTGCTCTAGATACGTTTTTACCCCCCCCCCCCCCTTCAAAAGTTCCACCCCCCCTCCCCTCTCGCCCCCTCCGCTCACTCACGATTTTTTTTTCGATTTTAGAAAAGATATATATCATTGACTTTTCCTTTATTATCTTGTCTTTAGTTTCTCTTCTCCACCTCCTCCTCTTTCTTCTTCTTTTTTTCTTTGAGGAAGAAATCTAGCAGCGTTGCATTTCCTAGTTGATATACATAAATATATATATATCTATTTTTCTCCGTGTAGTAGTTTGACGTTGCTCAAAGAAGGGGATGCATGACACTGACCCATCCAACGATTTCGGTGATAAGGGTGCTCTAGATACGTTTTTACCCCCCCCCCCCCCTTCAAAAGTTCCACCCCCCCTCCCCTCTCGCCCCCTCCGCTCACTCACGATTTTTTTTTCGATTTTAGAAAAGATATATATCATTGACTTTTTCAATATTCACTTCACAGCGCACGTAAACACGTTTTTTTCTTTTTCGTTTCTTTTACACTTGTGTTTGTGTTTTTCTTTGTTATTCTTGATTATCGAGTTATCATTCGCCGTTTTATTATCTTGTCTTTAGTTTCTCTTCTCCACCTCCTCCTCTTTCTTCTTCTTTTTTAGTTCGAGTAAGTGAAACAAACAAGCAATGCAAGAACGAGATTTCGATGTCCTTTTAGAATTGACAACAAAAGAGAAAGGAGAGATTTAACGAAACATTTTCTTTCTTTTTTTCTTTGAGGAAGAAATCTAGCAGCGTTGCATTTCCTAGTTGATATACATAAATATATATATATCTATTTTTCTCCGTGTAGTAGTTTGACGTTGCTCAAAGAAGGGGATGCATGACACTGACCCATCCAACGATTTCGGTGATAAGGGTGCTCTAGATACGTTTTTACCCCCCCCCCCCCTTCAAAAGTTCCACCCCCCCTCCCCTCTCGCCCCCTCCGCTCACTCACGTTTTTTCGATTTTAGAAAAGATATATATCATTGACTTTTCAATATTCACTTCACAGCGCACGTAAACACGTTTTTTTCTTTTTCGTTTCTTTTACACTTGTGTTTTTCTTTGTTATTCTTGATTATCGAGTTATCATTCGCCGTTTTATTATCTTGTCTTTAGTTTCTCTTCTCCACCTCCTCCTCTTTCTTCTTCTTTTTTTCTCCTTCTTCTTCTATTTTTGAGTGTTGTTAAAAGTTGTTGTTTTTTCAATCAGCATTATAATCTCAGAACAGCCAATGTTCATGACCAAATAGTATACATCAGTTCTGTTTGTTTTCCTAAGTCTTTTTCTCCTTATCATTATTATTTTATCATCACCATTATCTCCATCATCATAATCACCATTATTATCATCATTATCCTCATTATCATCGTTATTACATCCCTCCCCCCCCTCCCCCCCCGCCCCACCTTGAGAGTCTACCTAAATATAACATTTCCTTTTAATTTCCTTTTTATTCCCCTCACTGCCTCTTATAAATACAGCTCAGAATGCAGTGTTTGTTTGTTTGTATTTTCTTTTCTTTTTCAATCACATTCCAGTGAGCTTGGGAATGCATTAGTGTCCAGGAGTCTCGCCTGGGACACGGAATGGCCCCCACCTCGATTTGGGAAATGTATGGGGCGCAGTTTCTCCCTTCCCCCCCCCTCCCCCTCTCTCTCTTTTTTTTCTCCTCTTTTCCCTTCTCCACCGCTTTTTCCCCTCTCCCTCCTTCCCCCTCTCCTTCGCTCTTCCCTCTCTTCCCTCCTTTCCCCTCTCTCTTTTTTATTCCTACTTTCCCCCTCTCCCCCTGCTCTTTCCCCTCTCCCTCCTCCCCCCTCTCCCCCTCCTCTCACTCCCCCTCACCTCCCTTTGCTTAATGTACGTAAGGGGGTGTTGGTGTGAAAGGGGGGGGGGGAGAAGCTGTTGCCTTGGTCTCGGAGACGATGCAAACGAAAGATAAGAAAGAAGAAAATGCAAGAGAGAGGAAGAGAAGAAAGAAAAGAAAGGAAAGGAAGAAGTAAAAGTGCAGTTCGTTCATTTTGATGCGATTTTTAAAAATTTATTTATTCATTTCATTGTCGATCGAGTGAGAATATGAAAACCTAACTGGATTTATTCTGATAATTTCAACTTCCCAAAGAAGAAGAAGAAGAAGAAGAAGAAGAAGAAGAAGAAGAAGAAGAAGAAGAAGAAGAAGAAGAAGAAGAAGAAGAAGAAGAAGAAGGAGAAAAAGAAGATAAATAGAAATAACACTATTAGAAAGAAGAAGAAAAAAACACAAAATAGAAGACACAAAAGAATGCATAATAACAATAATTCAAACATCAAAACAAACCAAAAAAAAGCAAATATCAGACTTGGAAAAACGCATTAAAGCGACCAATCTCGGGATCAAAATGACCGAACTCCTCAGCAGCGTCTCGTGGGAAGGCCAAGACGGACTCAAGGGAACTCTCCGGTGGGGGTGAGGTGCGGAAGACGCCGGTTCGACTCCTCTCAAGGCGGAGGGTCTCAAGACGCGGCATCCAGAGGGGGGAGGGGTGGGGAGGGGAAGGGGAGGGGGGTGAGGGGGGAGGGGAGAGGCTTCTGTTCGTTGGTGGACGGCTTTTTCGTTTTTTTGTGTTTTTTTTTTAAGGCTGATCGGTTTGTTTATTTTGTTTTTGTGTATTTGTTTATCTGGTTGTATATTTGTTTGTTTTGTTTTTATTTATTTTTTTTTATTGGGGGGGGGGGGTCAAGTAAGTGGTTTACTATTATTTATGTTTCGTTTGAGTTCTTGTCTTTATTTGTAGTTCCTTTTATTTTGATATTTGTATTGTAACTATTATCATTTTGATTATTTTCTTTACTCTTATCATTATTACTATTATCCTCATTGCTGCTATTGCTATTATTTTCATTACTATAATTTATCAACCTCATCCTTATCGTTATTACTATTATTATTCTCTTTATCATCATTATCATCTTTCCTCCCGGTTCTCTCGCCTCTGGATGATCGCCATTGCTTCGCCAATTAGTTAGATTTCCAATAAGCTCCTTCAGTATATAAATATATAAATAGGAATATATATATCATTATATAACTGTCGTACCGTTGTTACTTACCTCAGGATTGCCGATACAAACGTGAACCCTTTTGTGAATGTTTCTTATTTTTGTGTAAGTTTGTTGCAATATGTGTGTGTTCATTATAAGTTGATGTATAAACTTAGTTCTAGACGTGACTTTTACATAGCATTAATTACTACAAAGGACTTTAGTCAAGAGGACCACACGGATTTCTAGGCTGAAGTGTTTTTTTTTTGTTTTTCCTTTCTCGTTTTTTTTTTGTCTCCTGACTTTTATTCCCTCCTCTTTTCTTCTCCTTTTCTTCTAAGTTCTTTTGTTTCTTAAGGAAGAAAAAAAAGAGAGGAAAGGCTGGAAATTTAAGAGGTTAGCAGTCATGACTTGTTTCCTCGAAGAAAACTTTCGGACCAAAAAAAAAGAAGAAAAATTATTTTCAAAGGCTTTCCTCTCTTCTCCGTCTTTGTTACGTCATCTTTATTACGTCATCACCTTTATTATGTCATCCCCGTCTACCCCCCAACTCCCGCTTACATTATTTATATATTTCGCATCCTATCACATTTTCTTCATCAACGGCGGAGAAATTTGCATTTTTTTCTTCCTTTTATCTCCCATTCCGTTTCCTCCCCTCCTTCCTCGCCTCCTTCCACCCTCCTGAGATCTACCTCGACTCACACTCTACCTCTGTCGGTCAGTATACATCACGTTCCTAACATCAGTAGCGAGTACAAGCGTAGAGTCTGTTAACCTTCGAATACATTGTGATACAGCCAGCCCGGTGTGGGCACAGCCAGGGTGTGTGTGGTCCTCACGCTAGTGTTATCACATAATATATATTATATATAACATTAATTTCCACATGTTCCTCATATTTAGCCAAACGATGTATGTACTATGCGCTCCCCGTGCTCTGACCTGAAACGTGGTATGTTAACATAATACTTGACCTGTAACGGGCATGGCCCGGTGACCCGATCACAGTCACCAACCTCCTTCTTGACGCTGCCTGCCACCCCCTCCCTCAACAAGCGCTCCCTCTTCGCTGTCAAAGGCCAGTATGTAATATAATTGTTGTTCTGTGAGTCTGACACTGGTTTTACAGTGGCGCTGGGGAGGTGTGTGTGAAGCTGCGACTTTGTGATCGGGTTGCCTTGTGGCCGGCCTGCTGCGGACGCCAAGCTACAGCTCACATTTTAACAAGTATACAATAGTCATTTTTCAGTACAAACAATAGTACTATATCTGATCTACCTCACATTTTTAAGTTCCGAAGGCTTGCATCATGTTTTTTTCCAGATTTATTTTAATATTTATGTGCCCAATGTTGAGGGTGACTACAACATATGTGTGTTCAATGTTACCGTCAGTATATGCAGTCAGTGTAGACTGCCGTGTGTCTGCTCACTGCATGGAGGAGTACTCATTTATCCTAAGCAGCGTGGATACTGGCGGTTCAAGGTGACGCCCCTGCGCGGAGGGGCGAAAGCAGTCGTCCTCGACAGGTGGCTCTCGCACGTACACTGTCGGACAGATGAGACGCTCTCCCTGGCCAGCGCTGCCGCTCAGTGGACTCCGAAGGTGTTGGAACGAAGCGTTGGACGGCAGAAAGCCTGCCAGGTGACTGTCTGGTGTAACCGGTCGTTAAGCAGCGGCGGGACGACCCTTCTCCACCGGGGCGGACCGCTCTAGCTTGAAGCAAGAATGGTGTGACCATGTAAATATATCGCGAGGCCGTGCTGACGTCTCGGCCCTGCCTCCAGGTGCTGACGCTCGCTGACGGACTGACGACTTGACGCAGGAAGACTTGCAGGTCGCGTGAGGCGGAAGTTTCCGATCCCAAGAGACGGGATGTAAATTAGTGTGTACGAACATACTGCTCTTCAGAGGGTCCTCGGCCTCTGACTAAACCCTCGAAGGGAAGCATTCAAAGGCAGGAATATTTTGGTTGGATT